GTGTGTGTGTGTCGGTGCAATCGACAAGGTTGCCTAATTTCGATGTGGTTGGTTTGCGAGGTTATGAGTACTTTTGCACAACCATTCACACCCAAGCCAGCCTGACCGACTCCGGTTGGCCGGGCTTCGGAGTTGCACCGACTGGCCAATTGGCAACATGTTTGCACTCACCTCATTTACACTCTTCTCCATGTCGAGCGCGATGGCCATGGCCTCTTTGACCGAGCTGGTCGAGGTGACGGTCGGCGCTTTGATGTCTTCCAGTGCCAGACGACCGCCCCGCTGCGCCAGGTAGCGGATCAGCTTCTCCGCATGCTCCGTCTCCTCGTGGGCGCACTTCTTGAAGAACTGGGCGCAGCCCGGCAGTGCCACGTCGTCGTAGCTGAAGTAGGCATGCAAGCTCAAGTATGCGTAGCTGGCCGCGAGCTCCATGTTGATTTGCCGGTTGATGCCGGACTCACTGGCTTCGTGGAAGTTCTGACGACATCGACTCGTCTGCATTTTGTCCAGCCAATTCGTCGCTAATCCGTCTCCTCTGATGCTTCTCTGATGCTTCTCTGATGCTTCTCTGATGCTTCTCTCGCTCTTTCTCTTCCTCCACATCGACTCATCTTCTATTTATACACTCGCCTGGCAACACAGCCTCCTGTACTGATCGTCGCTTCACCAACCGTTTTTCACCACATTTCACAAACCATTACACGCGAAACTGGATCTTGCTGCCCCAACAGCCATTACACCTCAGCCACCGGGCCCAGCCTGTACACAGACGGACGCTGACAAAGTGAGTTTCGCTTGTATTCTCTGCCAGCGAACCATGTCTCCGTCACACAACGCCCTGACGTGTGGGCACATTTGTCGTCACATTGTTGCCTTGGCTGCTGCTTGTCAAACCGCATGTTTGCAACGCTGTCGGAGTCCAGCAAGCGGCCAGAAACTGACACTCCAGTTCTAGACTCGATGCGCCCAAGTCGGCCAAGCTGACGCGTGTCTCTCTCTCTCT